TTTATTCTTCTCTGCAGTCCAGCCTCCAAAGGTCCCAGAAGACACGCCAAAGAATGTGTAGCCAGAAAAAAAGTCCATCTGATGAAAGCCAGCTGTTGCGGACAGTCGAACTTCCTGTCAGCTCACTAATGGACATTTGTAGCCTGAAGCATAAGGCTCATTTTATTGAACCAACATCTTGTAGATATTCACTTTCTGCAAAGATGCCAGACCTCCAGCTGAAACATTGTATCCACTCACAAATGCAGTTTATTGAGAGGTCTAGTATTCTAAAATGAGGGCGTTCACACTGACAGATAATCTGCACTTATTTATATAAATGCTATCGCCTGCAGAATGTTGAATAACAGCAAGGTACATATAATTTGATTTAGCAACAAGAAAATAAATATCTGTCAAAATATAATGCATCTCATTTGTGATCCGATAACAATTGCTCTGCAGTTGTGCACTAATAATGTTAGAGCGGACTACTATGGTGAATAAAAACGCTGTCAATGTGAACAAGACACAAATGACTTTTCCATATGAATGACATTCCATACATTCTTGGTCTCAACATAACACATATGTTTTCTTCCTCTGCAACACACACACACACACACACTTTATAGTGGTAACTCAGCTCTGATGTACCATAGGCTACATATATTAATTTGGTCAGAGCTGTCATATTTTAGTTCAACTCGCTTCCTTCACATTTATTTACTTGTCAAACAATCAACATTTGTAGATCATAATTTTTTTTAATTATTTAAAATCCAAAAAGGTGGAGATTTAGGCAAAATTGTCCAAAATAAAATCACCTTCACAGTTGACTTCACTACCTTTGTGCACGTCAATCCCATAAATTCATACAGCGTTTTCAGTCAAGAATCTGGAATCTGGCGTTAAAGGATTGTTCAAATCTGCTTGAGAACCAGTAGGTGGCGCAATTGCTCAATACTGTTTTCATTCTTATGCCATTACTAAATTGCAGTGGCTACTGAGTAATCTTGAAAACCTTTTAATCTTAAACTTTAATGAAGTAAAAACCATTTCGGCCTATGTGCATTTTGGCAGTTCATACAACGCTTACTTTGTCAACAATAAGGTGAGAAATGAAACATACTAGAAAGCACTGTAGTCATGTAGCAAACACTTTTATCCAACGCACCCTACAGCAAAACAAAGGGAAAACCGCTGTGAAGGAGCCTGGGATAAGTTGCTTTGTTAAGGGGAATGTTAGTGATGGATCAAACCTTTCAGTTATCAGCCCTGATCTTTAACCACTACACCACCAAAAACATATTTAAATGAACATATTTACCAAGAATTCTACCATGGGTTACTATTTGCATTGCAAATGAGCACTACAGGGACACGATAATAATGATAACTCTCTAGTAAGTCAATCAAAGACCATTTTAATACAAATACGTAAGAATATATATTGCCTCAATAATCTCCTTACTGCTTATTAGGTAGTTGTTACGTTTAGGTATTGGCTAGGATTAAGGATGTAGAATAAGGTCATGCAGAATAAGGCATTAATATGTGCTTTATAAGTGCTAATAAACAACCAATATCCTAGTAATAAGCATGTTAATAAGCAACTTAGTAGTGAGAATTTGACCCTAAACTAAAGTGTTACCACATTTATATAAAGAAGAGCAGAAGAGTAATCAGTCTGTGTGTCAGGTGTGGTTTGGTTGTCTTTAGTATCCTAGCAGCAAACACCAACAGGAAACACGAGACTCCGGTTGTAGATGGACATCTGAATGAGTATCAGGTGTTCATATGACAGACACACACACACACACACACACACACTCAGATGTGAGTCTACAGATCCAGCACTAGGACCCAGGATCATCCCTGTCCCTGCCTCCTCTCCTCGATCACTCACTCCTCTCCTCCCTACCTGATCTACTCACTCCAGGATGGAGCAGAGAGATGTCGCAGAGACCAGAAGCACACGCAGAACCAGGTCAGAGACCAGACACATCCAGACAGAACATAGTCTTGCCTACTAAGTGTCATTTTCTTTCTGTATATAGAGTATTGTTGTAGGATTCACATTCTGCAAATGGACAACACCATTAGAAGACTGCAAAATTCCTGAATAAGTCATCAACTATGTAAAAACCGCAACCTTTTACATGCAAAAGTCACCAACCTACACATAACCAAATTCTACAGGATTGCTGGATTTTATCCCACCATTGGACTTAAACGAATTCTACACAGGGACTGAACAAGAAGCCAGTTTTAAGTGTTTAGAATCAGCCAGCAGGTGTAAAGTTGAAGTCATAGAAGTTCACTGAGCGAGACTCAGATTCTCTGGACTGTATATGTGTACCTCTACATTCAGCCATGGGAAACGCAGCTGGAAGTCTGGAGATGACCCCCGCGCGGGACACCAGACGGCCCGTCAGCACCTACGGGCAGAAACAGCCACCGGCCCCCAAACTGCCCCCACCACCTGAGGACGAATTAGAGGAGAGGTTCAGCGTTGTGTTGGTACGTACAGAACAAAATATCCCATTATGCTGAAAGCTAAAAACACACTAACAGTGAGTTTCAGCTCTAATATTTTCTTTTTGTTAAATGATTTGCTGATTGAATATAGAAAAACGGCATGTCGAAGGGCATCAGTATGTGTGGTTGAGGGCTGAGATGTGCCACTGCATTTACCATAAATAAGTTTGATATGCATGGTGAAACTGATGTGCATCTCTCTGCATGGTTATGAATGATTGAAACTGCATAGCCTGCCCAAATGACATAGCTAGTTGTACCACGCTGTCGACAGTGTTGGAATGTTACGCGGATATGAGGTGATTGCATTCATATGCATGTTTGTGAAATCTGTAAGATCTCTCAGAGTATGAGTGTTATGCAGAAGTGAGACTATAATTGTGCAGCTGGGAAACTTTAATGAGTCTTTAGGTAGCCTTCATGTGCTTTATCTACATGTATGTATGATGTAGGATTTATCTACTTATTTATGATGAGTGTAAAATATGTAAATGTAATGCTGTTTTAAATATCTTTAAAAAAAAATTTTTTTTACTTTGATCTGCTACTTACTCACCCTTACGTCATTCCAATCTTGAGACTTTCTTTTCATACATTGAGAGTAAATTGTAATCAGGGTCTGTCAAAATCCCCAAAAGAACAAAATGCACCATTAAAGTATTATAAAAGTAGTCTATCAGCACTTCATTTGAAGTCTACAATAGATTTGTGAACAGGAACAGACTGACATTTAAGTCACTATTTGCCACTACTCTTCTTTGACAGTTTGTCCTTCACTATATGAAAAAAAGCAGAATATTTTAAGTATTAAATATCTTCTTTTTTTTGTCCAACGGAAGAGCAAAAAAAGGTCATGGGGTTTTATGGACATTTTTGTTTAAAAGTGACTTAATTATATAAATTCACACACCTTACTACAATAAATAATATATTGTTTGAGCACAGAATGATGCTAATATGATGAGGTTAGAGTTGGACCTGGAATGATCAACTGTAAACTAGTCAACGAATATTGGACATCTGAACAGACCAAATCCAACCACTCACATGTTAAATACCTGTGTTTAAAAGGGATATTTAGCCCATCTTTACCTGTATACTGTAAATTGGTCTGGCTCTGGTGTGTGTTAGTAAAGTCAGCTCTAATTTATTCCAAGGTAATTAATCTACTCTGCCAATATCCTTGATGCATCTCCTAAATCAGATAAACACTCCACACTCTCCCATCATGCAGCAGTGAAAGGCCATCTAATCTACGAACAAGTATTAAAGTGCACATGCAGGCTCTCCATCAAACTCAAACAACTTCATTCTATCCAGTCGCCATCTATAATGCCTAGTCAGAAAGAGAGTTTGTGACATGCTGTTTGTATATGGAAATACGATGCAAATAATCCAAGTAGCACCGGCAGCATGTTCATGATAAAACACACTGAATTAAAATGGGAATCACTCGAAAACACACACAGTCGGGTAACAAATGTAAATATTACAACACAAAGCATCAGTGCAATAACCTGTAAGCCTGTTTAATAAAAGTAATAACTTAAGTATTAAATTATGAAACAAAGTCTTGCATAACAGTGGCCATATACACAACATCGCATCACAGAAGTCTTGCATAAAAGTGGCCATGTACACATGCAAACTCATGCAAATGTACAGAGAATTCTGCATTATTTTCTTTGTGAGGCATTTTAAACACACAAGCTGATGCTTTCTACATCGCCCTGCTGAGGAGAGGAGCGCAAGACATCTGCAAAAAACACTGGCCTGTAATTATACAAATGGCCCGTTCACTTATGATATTGATATTTTGCATGTGGCTACTTACTGAAAGGACAAACCATCCATCGTCAGCTGTAGTCCCCCCTTCAGCTGATCTAGAAAATATATGACAATGAATCAAAGTCAGTACTCAATGTATTTCAATATACTTATTACTGCAGAAACTGATGGTATTATTGAATAAAATATATTACTGATGGTACACTACTGTAACATTTGGCCCTCTGGCGGTTAAAACACATTTTGGGAAAGAACATTGTTATGGTTGTGCTTTGGCTGTGCGGATGAATATGACCCTTCACAATAGATAATGTTTTACAATAAACTCCGTTAAAAGAGCTATATGGCAATTTATCTGTTCAATATTTTAACTTCCTCACCTGTTGAGTCATAAAAACGCCATCTCTGTGTTGCTTTTACAACATTTCAAATCCCTCAGTTCTCGCTATCTCTGAAAAGCCAAAGCAATGTTGATTCTTGTTTTATTACGAGCTCTGTCACGCTCTCTTTTTGCCAGCAGGCTCTCCACTGTTCGGCGTTTGTTTAAAACGGGTGATTTTCCGGAGGTTCGAGATTAAGCGGCTCCGTGTCAACCCTTCTCGCTCGTTGTAACAATTAACCTTAAACACCAGACACACACGCGTCAAAGTAGCCGAGGTGTAACATATTCCAGAGCTTACCATAGTGAATCA